GTAACGTTCAGTATATTGTAAATATAAGTTGTAACGTTCAGTATATTGTAATATAAGTTGTAACGTTCAGTATATTGTAAATATAAGTTGTAACGTTCAGTATATTGTAAATTTAAGTTGTAACGTTTAGTATATTGTAAATATAAGTTGTAACGTTTAGTATATTGTAAATATAAGTTGTAACGTTCAGTATATTGTAAATTTAAGTTGCAAAGTTCAGTAACTTTCAAAATAAAATGTAACAGAGAACCGAAGTATTATCGATTGACATTATTGTTCATTATAAACAGAAATAATTTATTACACATATAACGTTTTTTTTTACCTCGATGCAATAAGTTTTAAAGGTGGATCTTTATCGATTGGTACTGTTGCTTATGTCCCCATAGCATAGCGGTAAGTCTGCGGACTTATAACGCTAGAAATCGGGTTTCGATACCACGTGGTGGGCACAGCACAGCTAGCCCTTTCTGTAGCTTTGTGCTTAACTACAAACAAACAAAGTGCTGCCCATCCTTTGACCTTTATTCAACCTTCATTTATTACCTTCTAATGCTTTGTTTATCTACTGGCGGAAAGGACTCTTCTCTATAAAATATTTATGTCAACGTAAAAGTACAAACTATAATAGCTTCAGCCGAGTCTGAAAGGTTCATAGGATACTAGTATTGAGAAAACTGAATTTACAAAATTTATCTTTTGTTTTTTAGGATATTGTAGTGTACGGGTCATACACGTGTAAGAACTTACCAGAAACTATACGTACGTGTAAGAAGTTACCAGAAACTATGTGCACGTGTAAGAACTTACCAGAAACTATACGTACGTGTAAGAACTTACCAGAAACTATACGTACGTGTAAGAAGTTACCAGAAACTTTGTGCACGTGTAAGAACTTACTAGAAACTATACGTACGTGTAAGAACTTACCAGAAACTATGTGCACGTGTAAGAACTTACCAGAAACTATGTGCACGTGTAAGAAGTTACCAGAAACTAT